TTTCCCTGTTGACTATAGAGGTAACCTGGATGACTAACTTTACATTATACACAAAATTTTGGATAGCTAAAGATGAGACAAATTCCAGTCCTTAACTTGATTGTCTCCTAAGACTCCCTCTATGGTCAGTGGATAGAGACAATGCAGAAACAAAAATGCTATCTTGGGATTCTAACTTAGGTCAAACTCTAAATCATGAGAGTCCTCAGAAAGATTAAGAATAGAACCAGGAGGGAGAAAAGTAAGATACTGTCTTAATCAGTTCATGTTAGCCTGGAGCTCAAGTAAAAAATTTAGTGCTATTGAGAACATTTTAAAGCACAGTTGGTTTTGGATAAAAAAGAAGTTAGAAGAAAAAATGTATGTGCATTCTCCCAGAATTAGAACACTTACCACAATCTTAAACCTGTACAGAAGGGATGGAGAATCAGCAAGGCACCCATATTCAGTGTTGGATGGATTATATTTGGGTACATATCCATCAGCTCCTGTGCATAGAAAAACCTTCTCGATGCTACAGTAGAAGGAATCACCCAAATTCTGCACTGGATCCACCATCACCCGGCCGTATATGATATCACCTGTCAACAGTGCACACAGTTCACGTCCTATTACACTGGAACATTTAGCACAGTAGTGAGATGTGCAGCGTAATGTGACTGCAGTTTCTGGTCACGTCAAACGTTCAAGCTGAAGACTCTCAATCTGCCTACAGCTATATCCAAATTTTACTTGAAGAACACTTCTTACCCAGCTTCCACTATAGGAGGTCGTCAAAGGCCACGATCAGAGTGCACACTCTTCCATGCACTCTGGGCCATGTAGCAGCAGTAGGAGGCCGTTTGCTGTTGCTATAACATGAAGCAGTTCAGGGGCTGCTTTAAATTCTGGGCTACATTGGGTTCTTCATTCAAAAAATGAGTCAAAGAAAGAGTATGTAGTCTTGTGCACAAGATGAGGGTGTAGCTTTTGGTCTCCTGACAATGCATTTTGTTGAAGAGATGTTTTTTTTTATGTCAGTAGAATCCTATTCAGGCTTTATAAGAGTTTGCTTATACTTGGTCAGACTGGCATACTGTACAAGTGAAATGAACATTATGAAAAGTCAGAGAGACATTTTCTGAGATGTCTTGTTTTTGGCTGGGATAGAGCTAATTCTCTTCTTAGTAGCTCATATAGTGCTATGTTTTTGGATTTTGTGAGAACAAAACTTATACTATCATAGAATCATAGAATCATAGAATCATAGAATCATAGAATGGTTTGGGTTGGAAAGGACCTTAAAGATGATTGAGTTCCAGTCCCCCTGCCGTGGACAGGGACACCTTCCACTAGATCAGGTTGCTCAAAGCCTCATCCAACCTGGCCTTGAACACTGCCAGGGATGGGGCAATACCATACTGATGGGGCAATACTATACTGATGTTTTTACTGTTGCTAACCAGTCAAGGATTTTCAGCTTCCCATGCTCTACCAGGTGCACAAGAAGACAGGAGGGAGCATAGCCAGGACAGCTGACTCGAACTGACCAAAGAGATATTCCGTACCACATAACGTCATGCTCAGTATATAAACTGGGGGAGTTGGTAGAGGGTGGCATGATTGCTGCACGGGAACAGGCTGGGCATTGGTTAGTGGGTGGTGAGCAATTGTATTGTGCATCTCTTGTTTTGTATATTCTTTTATTATCATTGTTGCTATTATTAGTAGTCTCATTTTTTTTTTCGTCCTATTAAACTGTCTTTATCTCAATCTACAAGTTTGTTTTTTTCTGATTCTCCTCCCCATCCCATTGGGTGGGAGGGAGTGAGCCAGCAGCTCTGTGGTGCTTAGTTTTGGTTGGGGTTAAACCATGCCATGAGACTCAGCTCCCTAATGTGTAACTGCATTTCAGCTGGCTGATAATGTTGAAGACATGCTTGCCAGGCCTGTACAAATAACCTGGGCCATTGCTATGCTGGCAAGAAAAGCATACTATGTGCAATGGTCAAATACATATGACAGAAAGTAGTTAGGAAGGTTGAGAATCTGGAGAAGGAAAGGAGAAATGTTGTGTTGCTTTTGCAACAATTCGGAGCAACTGAGAGAGAGAGAGACCAGGCACCTGCTGTTCAAGAGATTGAGCAAATACATCACAAAAGACAGTCATGTACTCAGGGTGCGGGCACTCTAATAAATAGGCAGAAGAGGCACATGAGGAAAGCAGAGGAATCAAGTGACTGCTTAGATCTGCTGACAGATGTAACAATGGAATCAATCTTCCCACCCTCAGCCCACTCAGCGGAGGGCAGGGAGAAGGGAGAAAGCCTTGATGCTGTGCAAGCACTCTTCAGTAACAGCCAAAACATTGGCATGTTATCAACACTGTTCTAGCCACGGATGCAAAGCATGGCACCATAGTGGTTGCTATTAAGAAAGTTAACTCCATCCCAGCCAGACCCAGTACACTCACCTACAACGAAAAACAGTGTAATATTCACTTATCAATCAGGAATGTTCTTAATATCAGCCAATGTTTATAAAGTGCTCAGCTTATGAGAAATGGCACCAGTACTGTAACCCTCAGACATAACAGTTTCAGTGCAGATTGGCCAATAGCTCTGATATAAACTGCCAGGTAGGAAAGGTAAATGCAAAAGAACACAAGCAGCAAGCCCAAATCCTTACTCCTATCTTGTTTTGACTGAAACAGGATTTTGATAGTATGGAACACATACTAAATATGCATGATCTGTGCACAATTATACCTTCTGAGAAAGCAACATCACTTTCTTGTCCAAAGCCCATTGAGCCATCAGATAGCCACAGTGTCTTTTTGGAGAGGAGGAACATCTGGGTGTTCAAGCTGAACTCAGCAGCCACTGGGTCACTGACCTAAAACACAACAGCATAAGGCTCTTCAACAAGTATTCTCTAATGGCTCCTAAAAAGCAGCATGATCTCCGAATGTACATTATTTATCAGCTCTGCACATCTACATACAACAATACAGTTTAACCAAAAAATTTCTTTGTACTACACATATGTTGCTATACATTTTACATGCACACAACCTTTGGGTTATCTGCCTCTGTGGTATTTGACAGGATTCTAGGTTAGGTTCTTCCCACCACATTTTTCCAAATCCCAGCCAAGGAGGTGCCCAAGGCAACTTATGTGTGGGGCTGAGGAAAATATTTCCCTCCATAACTTGCCTCCCTCTGACTCATCACAGCCTGTTTTCTCTGTCCCATTTTCATTCTTAGACCTAAGTCCCACCTCTGCTTCCGATCCTCTAGCAATTATTTGAAAGTACACATTGCTGAGGATTTATTTACAATTATCAGTTCTTCTGACGTGCTGCAGGATATCAGATCATGCATGTGAAAATGCACCAAAAAATTTCAGCATCTTTTTATTATAATACTTATCTTTATAGATTTGACACAATTATCTATCGTTCTTCCTTGGTCACATTACAAGAATAAAATAAATCAATACTATCAGCAGTAGGTTCTCATTGAGCCTTCTAACATAAGTTAGAAGGAAAATTTTAAGGGACATGGCATAACAAAAGGGAAAAACCATAGTGAACAGAAGAAATGGGAAGAGCTCAAAGTTCAAAAATATGCAGTGTACCTGAGGAAACAATCTGGAAGATGCATATGCTTTTTTAAAAAAAAAAAGATAAAAGAACAAGAGGCCACTAAACAAATAAAAAAATGCTAATGTATATATGTATATTTATGTATATATATGTGTATGTGTGTGGAAAGGAAGGAAGAAAAACAGAAAAGAAAACATTCTTGCTGGCTCAGCGACATGGAATGAGATACAATAAAATCAACAGAAACTACTGCTGCAAGTTATACAGCTGACATTTATTCTTCTTCAAATCCCTTTTCCACAACAGAGTCTCAAAACTATCAAAGCAACAGGATTTGGCAAGAAAAACATATAGCTGAACTATTTTTATAAACTCACTGCTACCCTTCAGAAAGAGGAACTCTACTCCTATAGCCTTTTCACAGAAACAATAATTACAATAATAATTTCCTTTCTCTTTGGAATGCTTCCTTGAAAATGCCAGGGTTTCAGGCTATTGGATTGCTGTCCCGCAGCAGCTTCAAATACCTGACTGACACAACTGGTTTCCAGCTGTGGTGCTGAAAGAAAACCAAGCATGGCCTCATCAAGCTCTTCCTGGGCAGAGTAAATGTCCACCGGACAGGAAACAAGACGTGAGTACTCAGCTAAAGGCACTGGACTTCAGCCACACAGTCTACAACAACGGTCCAAGCAATGGCCTGGGTGAATAGCTATGAATACGTCTCTTATGCATCCTATTGTAAGTTACTGGGTTTATTTAAGTTTTATATGTAAGTCTCAGTGCTGCCAGTGGCTGACCCATAGCTGTAATTTATGACAGTAGCTTAAATGTAATTATTTTCACGTGCATTTGAAGCATTTTAAGCAAAAGTTCTTAGAAAAATAATCTGTGAGGATCTGCTGGGTGAGAAGAGTACTGTCAATTTATTCTGCCTATTTGTCATGCCCATCAACTCTTCATATGGATGATTTGAGGACAATGCGGATCACTCTTGGTAGACACCTTCACCTCCATGGGACCAAAGCCCATGAGATATTTGGTGCCTCAAGAAGCAGAGAGCTCTTGAGACCAGTCTATCCTAGGACAGCAAGTAACCTGATTATGGACGTGCTTCTGTCAGGAAATAGTCATGCATATTTAAAGAATGGAGATGCTGAAAGGACTGGGATAAAGCAGAGCCTGGAGGCTGAAAGCTGTTCATGTACAAGAAAACCCAGAGTGAAATAGTGGTAATGCAGTACTCACTACTGTTCCAGGCTACCTCCTTCCCTCTTCTGGGGCCATAGAAAGAGGAAAAAGGAGATGGATAGATACATGCTAAAGAAGGAAATGTTGAACCAAAGTGTCCAAAGGAGAGACACCCAAGATATTGTCTTCTTGATGTTTGATTCTTAAAACGGCCCCTGACTCACAAACAGTGAAAATAATTGTGAAGGAAGTTAGAACAAAAAGTTTCCAAGAAAATGAAAAGCCTCATGTTAAAAAGCTCAAAAAGATAACTCAGTACAGCAGCTGGGACACTAGACTAAGTATTGGGAGAAACAACTCCAGTCCCATTATTTCACCACTAGACTTTACAAGTAAAGTAATTTTGCTCCAGTTGTGACACCTGCACTCACTGACTTCATAGAATCATAGAAAGGTTGGAAGAGACTTCAAAGATCGTGTAGTTCCAACCCCCTTGCCATAGGCAAGGACACCTTCCCCTACATCAGGTTTCTCAAAGCCTCATCCAGTCTGGCCTTGAACACTTCCAGGGATGGGGGCATTCACAACTTCTCTGGGCAACCTGTTCCAATGTTTCACCACCCTCAGTGTAAAAAAATTCTTCTTATATCTAATCAAAATCTACTCTCTTTCAGTTTAAATCCATTGCCCCTTGTCCTATCACTACACACCCTTGTAAAAAGTCCCTCTCCAGCTTTCCTGTAGGCCACCTTTAGGTACTGGAAGACTGCGATAAGATCACCCCGGAGCCTTCTCTTCTCCAGGCTCAACAACCCCAACACTCAGCCTATCTTCATAGGAGAGGTGCTCCAGCCCTTGGATCATCTTTGTGGCCATTCTCTGGATTTCTTAGTCATAGGGTTATTCCAGGTAAGAGCTAGGTCTCTCCCCAGGCTACTTTGCCCATTTTGCAATGGTTTTTGTAAGTCTTTTGAATTTTCTTCAAATTATCAACATCTTCTTGTGGATATAAGGACACTATACAAGCTGTGGTTCAGCATTGCTGTGAATTGTTTTAGAGTTCCTAGAAGATTAGAAATGCCAGGCAAAAGACAAAGTGCTGAACTAGTATAAACTCCCCCTACCTCCCTCCATTCAAAGTTTTTAAAGATGTTTTGCTGGGTTAACTCTGAGAACGCAGGTTTCATGTCAGTTCATGTATCCTCTCTTTGCTTCGCCAGGACTTAATGCCATATCAGGAATCATCTGTTCTCCCATAGCCGGCATAACGCCAAATGAAAGCATAAAGAATGCATACATTCCCTTGTGTACTCCGGCTAATTCAACACAAAAGTGATTGTGTATCCCTGACTGATCTGGATCGGATTTGTACTGCAAGATGATTTAATAGCATACATCCATACTGGTAATGAGCATGAAACCACAGCCACACTGTTCCAGTATTAGTTGTATTGGCTCCAAATAACAGAAATCATAAACTTCCTCCTTACACACCCCAAGGTCAGGCTGGCCCTTTTGATAACACTGTAAAGTGGCAGTTTATGTTCTGTTAACTATCCAACATGACTCCCAGATATTTTTCAATCAATGCTTTCTACAGCAGAGTCCATTTCTCCATATTTTGTTCCTAGCTACAGAGCTTTACAGTTGGGCTTTGTGAAAGGTATGCTGTTTGCCTGTTCTCACATTAGCATATGATCCATGCTGTTATGGCTGAGATTTGTCTCTCTCACTCTCATGAGTCTTAAAGCTAAGCATTTTACCAGTGTTGGCTGTCTACACTTCCTCTATAGTGAGTGAAGGAAGTCCTACCTTAGGACTGAATGAATCTTCCTCTGGAGTTCCCACTTTTAATACTAGAGACTTAGCTGTGATCTTTGTGTCAGACGAAAACTTTCTGATAATAGTTTAATATTTTCCTAATTATCTGATAAAACTATTTCATACCAGAGCCAACAGATAAGTAAAGAATTCCCAAAGGTTAGCTCATATCACAGTAACTATCACCCAAATCAATGTAAATGAGCTTCCTACTGGCTGTCAAAGATTGGCCATGCATTGAGGACAAAAAAATAACTGTGCTCCCAGTCGGGTAACACTGTTAAATAGCAGGAGAGGAGTATGTGCTGCCCTATCAATTTAGGAATTGGTTTGTTGATAGGAAGTAAATTCAGTTTCTAGCATATCATAAATATAAATGTAAAGGAAACATGATGAAGGTATCACTAGGGTGGTACCTGCTGGAATCGGATATCCAGATCAAATGTGATTGGCTCTCTAGGATTGCAGATCACTGGTAGGCTGTACTCTTGATGTGGAGCAGTGGTACAAGCTATCAGCTTCACCGTGTATGTTCCAGAATAGTCTCGAACCTGAAGAGAGACAGAGAGAGAGAGAGCTGTTCCAACAACATCCTAACTAATAGGCTGGGGCAAGAGAAGACATAGTGAAGGCTGAGGTTTTACCGCAAAATCTGAAACAAAGCTCCACTGCTGTACTGGCTGGTTGTAGGTTGGCTCGCTTCGGATGAGGCTGAGGCTAAATGTCAGGCCTGGGTGATCAGCTGACATAACCATGGAAGTTAAAGATGAAGCTAGAAACATGCCAAGAGACAGATTGGTCACCTTTAGTGTTTCATTGCAAACTCTCAGAGCCTGAAAAACATTCCCAATAATTCATAAACCATGATGCCATTTTTGATGTTAATACCTTTGCAGGGCATTGGCTTTTATTAACTGAAACTAACAAAACCAATTACAGTCAACACAGCTGGGCCCCCTTGATTCTTGTTCAAGTGTCTATTAAATAGTTGCTTTTGGGCTACACAACCAGAACTGTGTGAAGATTAAATTTAACAGACAGGCAAAACAGTGAGAGTGGAATGGAAAAGATCTATAATCCCTTCTGTTTCAAACTTGGAATGTCAGCCCAGGGAACACAAAATAATTTCTCTTAGCAGTGTAACTCTTTCGGCTCTGCCTGATATGCAAAACTTGAGATCTGAGGACAGCTGAGAAAAAGCAGAAGCACTATGAAAGAGTTTTATAGGTTAATAAAACCGAGTTAAACTAAAAGAGTTTTCTTAAAATTATTTTTTTCCCCTTCTCATTATTGTTCAGCAGATGTAATTTAGTTAGATAATCTTTTCCATGGCTGGCATTCATGCTCAGGTTTAGATCTGTAGACAGAGTCTTACACCTGTGATTATTCTGAATAAAGGCAGTGGGGTTTAAACAGATTAAATTGCAGGATCAGGTCCTTAGCAATGACTAATTGAATGGCAGTGAGAATGTTTTATTAACAGAGTGATGCAATGCTAGTACAAGACTTTTTCTTAGTCTCTGAAAAAGGTCTAAATAACCTAGAGAGGCTTCCAGCTAGAAAAGAAATTTTAATGCTATCTAAGTTCCTATGGCAACATAAGTAAACAGCTAATCACAGCTTTTGGATTAAAAACATGTATTTATAGATCCCTAGTGGACAGAATGGCCTAGATCTTCATCTTTCATAAATCAGGCTCTTGATCAAGTGGAACTATTTGCTTTCCATCAGATTCATGCGTATTTCATTAAGTCTGACAATCTGAAAACAGTCATCCACGACAAGTACAGAAAAATCCTTATCTGAAGAGCACAGTATGTAAAAAATTCAGATATCAGTAGCAGAAATGAGAACAATGAATAGTATAACATTTGGGAGGGATGTCTTTGTTTTTGTAGTACTGATCAAGTGTACATTAAGCTTACCAGGATGGGACATCACAAACAGACCATGAAATCGGGCTTCAGTCTTGAAGTTGACAACCAGGCGCCCCTCTTCACTAATACGCATGCTGGTTGGGTACAGGGAACCTGGCAGCAGAAGACAATTCACAAGGTTTATTCTATTTGCAGATGACAAATAAATCACACTGCTAGGAAACATCAGTCTCACTCTTTCACTTCCCCTTGTCATGTCAGCTGTTTGGGAGAGGGCCTGCTGGTATCTTTTGGGTTAACTAAAGATTCTTCTCAAACAAGAATTTACACAGTGGGGTCTGTGTTTCAGCTATGTTTCACTATGTTTCAGCTTTCCAAAGCACATACAGAACTTCCCTGCAAAGTCGTGGCTTTACAGGTTATTATGGACCCACACAGCCGCTCTGGTAGGAGGAAAGTCCACAGCACAGTCTGTGCTTCTGTTCAGGCCACAGCATGGTCAGCTGCCAGTGGGTTCTGTAGAAGGAAGAACACTTTTGTTTCCACCAGGTATTCAGGGTGATTCCTACCAACGAAATCTACTTCAGAGACACCTTTTATCAGTGCCTCCCTATCCATTGTCCCAAGGAAGCATCCACCAGCCTTTAGCTGTAGCAGTTGGTTGCGTCTTCCATGGCAATCCACTTGTGGGGGCTTGATCCTGTGAAACTCAGTCTGACAGGCTTTGCACTGCTATGATGTCTGGCATGAATCTAGTCCAAAACATGGGCCTAATGTTTCCTAATTTCAGGTTACAAGGTCTTGTGTATATGTTCAGAAGTGGCTGATTGCTGTAGCTTGCAGTCAAGTCCCTTTTTCTCTAGAAAAGTTCTGCAAAGTTTTAGAGTTCAAGTGTTTCCTTCAGTGCTTCCTCACAGAGACCCAGTGATGCACCACCATTCTGCCTGCCAGGGACAACAAGGAAACAGGACTGTTCCTCCATGAATGTGTTGGAAACCTAACACACTCACCAATGTGAAGGTACACCACCAGTACAAAATCACCTGTACCAATCACAGTTATTGGTACCTTAGACATACATATATAAGTGTGAATTATGGTTTTAGAAGGCCTTGACTACTTTACGGTTTCATGTAGAATTTATATAGAATTATATATATCCACAGGATTGGAAATAAACCAATTCAAAAAACTAATTGGAAACTAATTAACTCCTCCATGCCCAGAAAAATTCCTACTCATTTTGCAAGGCTGTGGATACTGCCCAGATCAGATTGGAATATGTCAGTGGTCCACCGTCCACTACCTCACTGTGTTTATCAAGTGTTTTGTGCTGGCTGTTTTCAGAGAGAGCTGCCAATGTTCAGCATCTCCAAAGACCTGGCCATCAGCTTCTTAAACAGATAAATAAAAAATTTAAAGCATCAACGATGGGAAAATGGTGGCATAGATGCGCCACATAACTGCCGAGATGGCGGATTAGATCTGTTTTTTATTCAGTGACTAGTACATCATATGATTTGTGGCATGTGGCTTATTCTTTAGGCATGGCATGACATCTGCTTCATTCTTCATGCACTGTAGATTCCCCTTGCCGCTCCTCATTTCCTGCTCTTAACATGAGGTCAGAAATTGCATAGCAATGACTTCTGTAGTTCATATACAGAATTTTCGGAAACAAAAAATGGTTTTATGTTCACTGGAGTACTGAAATTGTGTAAGTGTACATACATAATTTTAGTCAGTGCCTGTATTCTACCTTGGGTTCAGACTGATATGGAACACCTGAAGCTTAATGCTGAGAAATATTGAGTAAATTTGCATAAATAGAACAGAGCAGCATATAGATGTAACTATATATTTTAATCTTTCACAGACATCTGTGTGTCACTATTTTTAAAAAATAATTTAATTTTTTGCAAAGATAAATTCTGTAATGATAGTTTGATTTGTTGACTAGTTATAGTCATAAATATTTATTGACATTTGAAGAACGTTTCAGTTTACTACTCTGACACATAGGACAGACTATTATAGCCATTCTGTATCTTTTGAATGTTTCACAGTTCATGTTTTCAAAATATCAAAAGTTTCTGAAACTGTACATTCATGGTCAGAAAAAAAACAGTATCAGAAAAGTTTCAGATTATTTTCACTGAAGTGCAAACATCTTGTGTGGTAATAGAATATGAATACATAGTGAACCTTGAGGTTCTGAGCAGAAATAAATGTGCTAATTTTTGCACGTGTACTTCAAACATAATGAGACAGTTACCTTTCTTTGCAGGAACAGAACTGATGTTAACTTTACATGAATTTTATAAACACTCTAGCAGAGAACTGCAAGTGCTAGGAAATGACAGATTGTCTGCAACTGATGATAAATGAAAATTGTAATTTTGGTTTTGTTGGGGTTTTTTTTTAGAAAAATTGATTGAAAAATCATCCTAGTGTGTGCCAATTACACTCTTAGTAACAGAATATGAGTTCCATGCAAAGAAATCCAACACCCACCTTGGAGCTCTGCTTCAGGTGGGCTACCGATCCCGTCCTTCCACAGGATGGCAGTGTCATACACAAAAGTCAGCCGGAGCTCTGACTGTAGGTCGAAATGCTGCCAGCCTCCTACACCCACTGGAGAGTGGAAAACGTAAGAGACGTACAAGGGGACTCTCAGCGTGACATAGGACTGTACTAGGTTGAGAACCTATAAAAAAGAACATTATGCATTTAGGTCAGTGGTCATGAAAGGCAGCACTCCACAGGTAATCCTAATGCAAGAGAAAGAGAAGGCAGAACTTGAAATAAATACCGTGACTTAATCAAATTCTCTCATTTTGCAAATTACAGATGAAGTGCAATACACCATATTTCAATGGATTTCTGCTGAGCTTACCTCCCTTCAAGTCCCATTTTTGTATTTCAAACTGAATATGCGTGCTGAAAAAAAACATAAACCCCTCAATTTTGACTCATTTTTGTTTACATTTTAATACAGATATTAAAATATATATATGGCCACAAATGAAGGTTTAGAAACTTTTTAAATATTATTTTGCATTAGTTCTATCCTTATGCCTTAACCAACTCTTTTGCTTACATTCTTATGTTACTACCCTGTAAGAAGCTGTTCTGGAAGACCCTGAACTTGCTCAGACATCATTTCAAGACTGAGTCCTTGGACTGTACTCATTAATCTTTGGAACTATTTCTTCCTTTGTGCATGGATAGTAGCTAACATACCACATGCAAACACGCAAATCATACTGTTTATTGCTGTCTGGAATAACTAAAAATAGCATGCAAGTTGACAGAGATTTAAAAGTAGACCCTTTATGCACATGTGGTACAAAGCAATAGCAGTGTAATTATTATCAGTCAGGGAATTACATATATATTTTCACCAAAAAAAAAGGCAAGAATAACAGTGTCAGAAAACTGTCACCTCTTAAGATAGATCTTACATGATATATAGATCCATATCTTTCTGAAGAGACTGTGCATTTATGCTTTGTTACAAATACTTTTTTATTCACATGTCTCTGATTAGAAATGTGAAATCCAGATCCTTTTAGAACATTCTGGATTTTCTTAGAAAGATGCAGAAGGAAAAGCATTGAGATTATCTCCCAGCAGGAAAATTTTCAAAGGCATAAATGATGTTGAACTCCCTTTTACTTCCAATAGAAATTGCATAGATAAATTTGTACATCTGAGCATTTCCCTGGAGTGATTACCTTACAAGCTTTTAAAGAGTGTTAAAAAACTCCAACATTCAAAGAACTTTAGAAGTGTGTAAAAAACAAACTGTTTCTGGGTTCACCCAGTACCATGTCAGGGGGCTGAACGTCCATTACCTTACAGCTGCTTTACATTTCCAAATGCAAGACAAAACTTTTAGTAATACTATGAAACCACAAATTACTGCCTGCACTTTCTAAATACTCTGAACTAATTAAGGAGCTTGTTATGGCAAATGTTTGTACTTGCCACAACTCACTTTCATACGTGACACTCCTTGATCTACACACCATGCTACCAAAACCTTTTCCATTTACATTGTTTGCATTGTTCCATAAAACGTGCTAGCATTTAGACAGTAGGCAGTCTGGAAAAACACACGATATCCTGCAGTAAAGCAGCCTGGTAGATAATATGAGAAGCTACAGTGATAGATTTTTTTTTATATTAATGCTTCTTTGTTGGTTTTATATAAACACAATCAAGAACTTCTATTTGGAACAAAAAAAAAGAGTTTTCATCTTTATATATATTGGATGACAAATTGAAGTTAGACAAAAATATTATGCTTTAGTCCTATTTAAGTTGCAAGTTCATCTTTGGGATACCTGCATGGATATCTGAGCAATTATTTCAGACATGAATTTCCTAAATTGTTCCAAATAATAGCCCAGAATTCTCACTTTTATATATATATATAAAAAAAGCTATGCTACAACTCTGCTATGCATTTGTCTTTGATTCAGAAGTAACCTCGAACATTTGTCATTTCCTGGAACAGTATCAAGAACTGAATACATTGGTAGCATAACAAATGTGTTACTATTGAAAAATCATCCCAGACGAACTATGTTTGGCTTTTTTCTCTACATTTGCATGTTGTACAGTAAGAATTAGACATTGGAGTCAAAGGTTTGAAATTCAATTTGCATTATGAGGAACAGAGGAAGGTATGTGGAAGAAGATTTAATGTATGTCCATTATCATCTTGAAAAGAAGCATACATAATGCTTAATGATAATGTGGAGGAGGACTGGAATATCACACAGGGAGAAATTAATGACCTTGAGAATTAGAATAACAGAAGTGAGATGAAATTTTATAGCATAAAGTATAAGGTAATGGAAAGTAGTGACCGGGATTTCTGGTAGAAATGAAAGGCATTGGTTAGAAACAATAGAGGGGAAAAAACGTTTTGGTATGTGAGTTGATCACATCGTAACTGTGACCTTCCTACCCTCTCCATGTGATATGATCCTAAGATAAACTGAGGAATGGGGTGGAAATTAGAAGCATGCATGCCATTATACAGAGCACTAGTGAGAGCTTATCTGGAACAGCTTTGATCATCCATGCTTGAAAAAGCCTAATTTGCATTGTAGACTGTAGAAAAAGAAATCAACATAATCACAGGAATGGCAAAACTATCCGATGAGAAAAGACTAAAATAGCCAGGTTGTTTAGCCTAGTACAACAAAGGCTGAGAGGGAATAAGAATGCTGGCTATACACGTCAGGAGATGAACAGTGAAGGGCCACTGATGATGAAAGACGGTGCTGACATGAGAACAAATGGACATAACATGGCCATGACAAATACAGCCTAGAAATCAGAAGAATTTCTAGCCCTCGGTGTGGTGGTATTCAACAAGAATAGCGAGGCCATGAAATCCTATTAGTTTTTAGATTAAGTTTACTAGTGTTGGAACCACGTTACATAAAGAGTTAAGGCAGCGGTCTGGACTGAGTGATCCACAAAAACCCTTCTAGTTCAGTATCTCATGCCACTTCAAATTGTTTCAAAGATTTTCTTGATTTTCAACTACAAGGTATCATCAGCTATTCATGTATACTGTGTACATAAAGCAATCCATTAATGGGGTTTGTATATCACATTTTAGGGTTTTCTTGCTGCCATTCAACAGGGTCATAATGTTAGTGAGCTTGACTCATTTGTACTGCTGGAAATCTAGCAGTAGGATCCTTTCTGGAGAAAGTCTGCCTGAAACACTGCTCCTTTGCCATACAGTACCACTGCTCTGTGGGAAAATCTGAAACCATGGTGCCAAAGAATAGTCTCCATCTCTAGGATCCCAGAATTTAGAAGGTTCTTCTCTTTTGGCAAAACCCATAAGAGATGTCCGGGCAGCAAAGCTGCTTGCCCCAGACTGGGAATTTATTCATGTACACATTAACGGTTTTATAAGTGCTTTTATATAATGTACACATTGATATATACATTTATATTATGTACACATTTTACAACTTTTTTTTTTTTTAATAGAATGTACACATTAAAGTTCTTACGCACATAAACCCGTATTCAGCCACTCATGCATTTGCACGTGCGGAGGAAAACCTGACATACTGATAGCCAGAGAATTACTGAATAAATATTTCTCTCTTTCCTAACAGTAAATTAAAACTTACAAGGCTCTCTAATTTCCTGCTGAAAATGAAAATGCCACAAGGGAAAAACTACTCTTCATTAGGCAGAAAAGAAAAATCTCAAGACATGCTATATGAAAAAAAAGAGGATCTTTTGGATATAATAAAAATAAAATATAAAAAAGAGGAAATTAACTGCAGAGGAAAACTGTGTTGCAGTGAGTGAGCAGAACTCCCCAACAAACGAATCGATGGAATGTGTTACACAGATGGAGGAGTCTTACTTTTCTAGCCCTCTTATTAACGCCATTTAGGCAAACATGAGAAAACATTCTTTCCATTGAGTTATCTTTATTTCCCAGCACTGCCTGCAAAACCTATTGGAAGTAGCCAGCTGTTCATATTTTATCTCAGTGTGACACTGATGAAACCAAAAGGGTAACTTAGAGCTGTGTAAGGGTAGGATCAGCTTAACTGCTGTGGAGGGGCAGAACAGGTGCATTATGTATCTATGCATCCTATGCCCAGGCAACTTTAGCAGTTGTACTGACAAAATTCAATTCATTAACGCTAGTTTTAAACAATAATAAGTGAGTGTGACTTTTAGCCTTGTGACACCAGGAGAGAAGTACTGACTACAGCCACACCTGAGCTGTATAATGGACATTGATATAAGAAGTAGAGCTTCCTACATTTTGTTTGCAAGATAAATTATCACAGAGCATAAGGTCTGTTTTTGAACACTGACAATTCCCATGTAAGAGTTGCGAAATATTAATGGGAGTTTCTATAGGTGTTCTCCTTTTGTTCCTCTTTCTGATGCAAACTGTCAAACTTCATTAAGTAAAAAAACATAATTAGTTTGAGTATCTGGCACGTAACAAGTGAGAATATTTACAACAAGAAATATTTTCAGTTAAAACTTTGGGTCATGGAGTCTGTTCTACATTTAGAATCATAGAATCATAGAATGGTTTGGGTTGGAAGGGGCCTCAAAGATCATCTAGTTCCAACCCCCCTGCCATGGGCAGGGAAATCCTCCACTACACCAATTTACATTGTATTTTATTTATCTGGCTTACATTTCCTGAGGGCAGAACTTGGCTGTGTGTGTGTGTGCATTGTTAGTACTGATAAAATCAGAATTACAAATTAGAAATAGCACAAGTTCACTTTTTATATTGCATCTCCCAATAAAACAACCTTTTCATGAAAACTGTATTTTTGTCCTCCAAATTACCCCAAGCCTCATTTTCTATTGCATTTACTTGCCGTGTCTGTGAATTTGAGTCACACGAGCCTAACAATGTTATCAATTAACTGTTTGCACAATAACAATATGGAACAATTTGGCCCCAAGAAGGCACACAGCCAGGTAGGTCACAGGTGAAATGCAAAGCAAGTTTGTTTAAAGAAGTCGGATGGAGAGGAGAATGCAATACAGCCTCGAAATGCCAGCTCCTTGGAATGTTTAACCTCTGACTTTGTTACACAGCTGGCACATTAACTTTTTAACAGAGAATTTTCTTCACAGAATTTACTAAATGCATGTGTTTGCAGCTGGAGAAAGAAGTTTGACTGTTAGTGAGCTTCCATGTCAAGGGAATACAAGTTGCAGGGTTTTCTTAAACTCGATTGTGGCAGCTGAACTGAACATAAAAATCTGAAAATAGACCTTATTGTTTATTTGCGTTTTATAGTTTCTAGTGAGATTTTCAGGAAAGCTGACTTTTCCCCTTAAAGTATGATTTTGTTAAAACTAGAACTAGTAAAGCCAGAAATATACTGTTTCTATGTAATAAATAATATCTGCAAGCTGCCTTGTATAAGCTGAGGCAATACATTAGTGATTTTAAAATCTGTTTTCAGATGGGATTTCCAAACACCTCAGTGCCATAACATGTGTAGCATAAATGTGAACTGAACATATTGGACGAGAAACATTTTCAGTTTTGGCCAGAAATAACCGTTTTTGTTAGAGAATAAAACAAACTGCTCAGCTGTACTCAATTATACTAGCTTCAAAGTATCAATCTGTACATTCAAATATTTTACTATATATTCTTCATGTTTCTGACAAAGACTAGCTTAAGTAGTTGTTAATAAAATTTGTTTGAATGGTAATTTCCCTCCTTCCCTATGCCAACTCTGGCAATGGACTGGAACTAGGGACGCAACAACCACACATAAATACTTGGCCAGAACCACACAAAAGCCTTCAGAAGCCAAACTGTCTGGCTACAGCAAACAGTTATAACAGTAGGAAATGAGATCAAATGATACTTCACACTCTATCAAATAAGTCCAGGCCAACACTTCAATATATACTTTATTAAAGGACAGCCACTTGCTTGATTTTCACTATTTCACTTCTTCCTTCCAAGAATATCTGTCGTTGTTCTGGCACCTGAGACTTAAGAATGTGAGTTGTCTGTAGTACTTGACTCTCACAATGTCCCCATGACGTAAAGTCCAAGTTTTATTAACTACCTGAAAATACAGGAAGACAGCCCACCTTTTTAAAGCCTATACATACCCAAAGACAGATATTGAATTTTAGGCTGTGACTGCAGGTTGTCCAGAAGAAAACTGTTGCTTTTGATCATCAGAGCTGACCTTAACTTTAACCAGAACAGAACTACAACTCAAATGAATTAGCTCAATTTAAAGACAAGTAGGTCTTTATTTTTAAATAGAAGTGCCTTAGACTGCACAGCTAAATCCACATTTAGATACATAAATGCCTGATTTTTCAGATGTGATGAATATGGGCAGACCCCAGGAACAATGCATCAAGCTGTATACTGAAAGGAGCGCTGCATCTAACTCACGCAGGGTTTGCTCATGCACAGAGTAATTGAGAAAGAGAATGGGTCACAAGCAAAAGGTCTCAAAGGAAAAAAAAAAAGAAAACTAAGACCTTCTCTGTATGTATTATGACAGTTCACGAGTTCATGGGAACTGGCTAAGACAGCTGCAGCTTGCAGCAAACACTAGGAGCACTGCCAGATGAACCACACCAGCTGCAGGTCTCCCACCTCACTTCTTGCTGACCGAAGCTCATCTTCTTCCCCTGCCCTAGGAGGAGCTCGCATAAAGTGAAGTCCACCTCAAGCAAGATACTGCCAGTTGTGTTTGTGAAATCTCTCTGTCTGAATCAACAGTGCTATCTTTGTTTGACCATACAGGTACTGGCGAGCTAGAATCAAGAAACAATTTTGAGCTAAAGATCTAGCCATATCTGGTAAACATCTAGCCATCTTGTAAATTCAAGCTATTAAATTTGCAGCAGTAGCAGGATGTGGTGAGAGTGTTTTTGTTATTTATCTGTTCTGCCTGTATAATGGAACTTAAGCTTCCTTTGTGTGCTAAAAAAACATGGTGAAAACCATAGCTGCCAGCTTTCCTCTCACAGAGGAGGATTATTAATTGTTCACTGAAGGAGAAAAAACCAACAATGGTGACGACCACAGAGATAGGGCACTGACTGCCTCCCCTCTCAGCTGGAGGGGGTCATGTGAAGATAAAGACCAAACTTGGAGAAGAATTAAATGGAGGTGGGGGAAACAGGGAGGGCAGTGAAGCGCACACTGGCTGTGGGGCAATGTTTCACTGCGAGAAGTAATTCAGCTTGATATTTCACTTAACACACTGTAACCTTTCAGCCACAACCTACAAGGCACTAAAGGATGACTTCAGCTGCAGTTTCATGGCTCTCATGGCTCATGTTCATCCCTCTCTGCTTTTAAATGAGGGAACTAACCTAAAGCACATAATGCTTCCAGAGCTTAAAGCAAGTACAGCTCTCTTCCTCGGCCACATTACCATTTATGTATGTCCTCCACAACTGAATATACAGGTTCTTTTCATTTACTAAAATATAGGAATGCTGCTTATTTTCTCCTCTGTTTATATCCACATAGACATATATAGGTTTTATTTAAACACATATTTGTCTGAACCAGCTATTCAGCCTTTTCTCTAAAGGACATGAAAGTATTTAGAATGGAAAGGATTCAAACCAGCTTTTTCTTCATCTTCACTGTAGGAGAAGTAGCTTGCATAGGTCACAGGATTGGAGGACAGCTGCTTGGCAGCTGTGTGTGCTTGTGCACTTATGACTGCTTTTTGTGGGAAATAATATATGGTTGCATATTGCATGGGCATAAGGAGATAAAGGAATGATGAGCTGAAGAAATGAAATCATTCTAAGAACAGCAAAAACTGCTGTCATTTTTATCTTGTGGGAATGCGTAAGGTTTACATCCCACACTTGCATGCCTTCCCCTTCCCTCTGACAGGTTCGTGGTTCCAGCGGAAGATACCTGTAGGAGGATCTGCTTGTAGCAGAGGGGCAACCTCAAGCAGATCCACTGACAGTGAGCTTCCAACATCAAGGCAGAGACCTTGAAGTGGTCTCTGTAACAGACAAGGAACCAGGGCAGATGACAGAGCACTGAGATGACATATCCATCAAGGCCTTTGCATCTAAGAAGGGCAGAAGCTCCATTTTGTTCTGGTCTTATACTTTATAGAGTATATAATCTCCAGTTAAAATAGCCAAAATGTTAGTAAGTTAACTATGGGCTAAAGAGAGCCCAGTGCAATTTCTTGTCCAGTAAATTGACTGTATGATCACCTGCAAACACCCACAGAGTAAAGTAGACTTAGGCATGTAAGTATTTTAAAAAAAAAAACCAACAACAAAAAAAGAAAAATCAGCTTATCTGATTAGATATCTATGTGTCCATTGGTGCCCATGCTTTTAGTAGTAACAGCGTTGTTTTGCACATGCCAATAGGTTTCTTTGGGCAATGACACACTTTCTTCTCATCTGTTAAGGCCTCATGTCATTTGGGTCTGACAAAGCAAGAATTTGCGCCTACAAGACTACTGAGGTCTCATAAGCAGATGGGTCTCCAGTATAATGAACACCTGCTAAAAAGCAGAACAATTATGGCCATTTCACACAGTGTCCTCATCCTTTCCACAGTGGCTCAAGAAGTAAGGCTAGTGAGCCAGGAGAGTGAGTTACCTTTACCACACAGTTATGCTATGGATGGACTTCTCTGAAATGAGGTACTGCATTTCCAGTCCTTCTTCCAGCCTATAGGATTATTCCTCAAAGGGACTTTTCTGTGTCATAAAGGATTGATCTTCATAGCTACAGCTTTTGTACTCCAGAGCCAGAGTGGGATCAGACAGGCTTATGTAGTAATTATACAAGGAAGACCTAGGGATTAACTTCACTGTCACTGCACCAGAAGAAATGCTGCACCCCTTTGCTTCCATGTTATGGATTTCTAGAAATAATTTTCCAAAGGGCACATGAAGATCTCTCTAACTTCTTTGTTTTAACCCCCTTAACCACTTTCACAGCTCTGTTCTTCATCCATCTCATACTGGCAGCTTCTCTTTGCTTCCTGACCAAGGAATTTTCTGCTGGGTAATGTGATACCACAATGGTATCTGCACTGGCAGGTCTTGTTACACAGTGAGCAAGAGATCAGCAGAGCCAAGCAGCTGCTCGGACAGTGCAGTCCATTGTTATCATCAGGAAGGCTCTCCACAGTCTTTTTTAAACTCTATTTTAAGATACACCATGATTAATACTAAATAGCCCAGTACTATCAACACGCTAAAAGCAATCCTTTAGAAAGCTTTCACTCTTTTTTATTTTAAGAACACAGTATAAAATCAAGTTACAGTTTCGTACCTGTCCATCTGTCCCAATGGTGCCTCCACAATCTGTGAGGAGCTCAGACATGTCATAATAGCTAACAAACTCCCACAGACAGGCTTCCAGATTCAGATTGCGGTAGAAGCGTAAGGTATTGAAGCCTCTAATTGTTGGGCTGTATTGATAGGGAATGGTTTCTCCAATCACATCTGGATTTTTTGTAGCATCAGTCAAGAAACCATGGTGGGTCTTCACTTCTGTGTAATCCAACAGATTGGAGCACTTATGGTTTCCAACTCTAGTTCCATCAGGGCTAAGTGTCAGCTCAAAGTTGGAGAGCTCTCTTGTAGAAATAACAGGCAGCATGCCTAAAAAACATTAATTTCCATCACTAAATTTCAGTGGTCAGAGTTGCTTAATTTAGCCAAAGTTTGCTAAACACTAAGCATGTTATGAGTGCTGTATTTTACATTTCTGTATTTTGTACTTACAGTAATCAATGTCCTTCAGAATTCAAAGAAAGATGTTATACTGTTTGTCTGAGAACGTTATCCACAATAATTATGCTTTTATACTATGAAATGCCAAATAACATATTTTTAAATCTCCAACATATTTTTCAACCATGATCTTGTATGATTTTTTCAGATGCAGATAGTAATTAAATGGTTTTATATTTTTTTAGTAAATAAATTCTTCCTTGGTATATCTCTATGGGCTTCAAAGTAATTTCATGAAGCGTAGGTCCAGCCCAGTTTATGTACACTACATAATTAATGTGGAAACACTTAATCTTTGCATCAAAGACTATGTATCAATACAGTACGTTATGCACCTTGTAAACCGCACTTGTACATTCATCATATTTTTCACTGGTCTCACATGTTAAAAGATTATATTATGATTTTTGATATTTAAAAGAACATGACCAATAAAATAGCTCAAGTAACAGCTTGTTGTATGAGTTCTCTCAACTCCTGATTTCATCATACCATCAATATGTGGCATTGTGACCGTCAGTTTGATGAGATTGGCATAATCGGGATCTTCTGGGCCAGTATAGCGCAATTTGGCAGAGAATGGTTCTGCTCCAACTACTCCTGACATACGAGGTTGACAAAGACCTAAAGGAAAAAAGAGAAAGCAACTTTACTTTACACCATGAGTAAATAATCTATACTTTCCCTTGTATTATTTTTAGATTATTTTTATCTTTTTTTTTTTTTTACAATATAAGTTTCCAAAACAAGAATTTTCTGGAATGACAGGTAGGTGCTTTGGGCAGCATTTACCAGAGGTTTGAACAGGAATTTATGCAAAAGAGGATTCAAACAGAAATCATTACTTGATCAATGGGCTCACATTTTCAAAACCAGGTGATGATACTGCACCTGTACATTTTCAGTTGCATGTGTCAACCATGTTTGCAGAGTTAAGTGTGAAGTGCCATACTTTCTTATAGAGGTCCTCAGAGGTATATGCTTTACTTCCTCCCACCCCCTTAAACACATACGTAGCTTCACAGAGGATACCTGAGCAGTGTTCAGCTGATTTTGGCACTGGATTGGGGTGTGGACCTATATATATATTGACAGGACTTTGTGAGCCTCCTGTTCCACTAGTGATCAAAACGTAATTAGAATAATTGTGTCACAAACTAATTTTAGTTGGAAAAGATCTCTAGAAATACCATGCTCAAAGCAAGGCAAGCTTCAAAGTTGCAAAGATCAGGTTGCTCAGGGCCTTGTTCATCTGAGTTTTGAATTTCTCCAGGGATGGTAAATCTAGAACTTATTTCAGCAACCCATTCCAAGGTTAGTTCATCCTGTTCCAGTTTTAGTCCTGGTTTATAAGATTGGAAGATCAGGTTTGTAATCATATGATCTACGATATATGCAATTTCCAGTTGCATGGTTCAATGCAGAAGTGTCTGCATTCTGGCCACAAGAATCACAGCACACTGTCATGAGATGGACAAAGGCTCACAAGGCCCCCTAAGAAAGACACTAGCAGAAGTGCAAAATCAGAACAGTTCCCTTTGCCCATGTTCTGCTCTTTGCTCACTTCTGAGGGATTACAAGAAAAGAGGAGGCACAGTCCTCCTCTTAGAGAACTTATTGATTCTGGTCGACCTCATCCGGCTCAATGGCTTCAAGTTGGAAACTTGGCATGAGGAAACAAAATTTCTCTTCTGCACACACGATAGTTTTGTCATTTTTTTCTCAAACGCAAGTAAGGTGCTAAAGAGGCTACATACAATTTTTTGAACAATCTGACTTACTTTTGAAACTTTGGTCAGGTGATGATGTCTTACCTTCTGATGTGCTTATAGTTACAATAGGGCTTATAAGCTCCAGACCCTCGTTCCCATCTGAATTCACAGCACGAGCTGCACACTGGACACGAGAACCAGCTTGAAAGTAAATGGAGTCAAGTGTAATCATCTTGGAGGAAGTGAAGAAGGTATCAAAGTCAACCTCCTTCATGGGGCTAGTCACACCATCAGGACCAGTGGGTGCACTTACAAGCCACCGGTATCGTGTCAGAGTATTGTTGATGTTCTCACTTGCACATATTGAACCAGTCTTTTCAAACTCCTCATACTTAGGATTGCAAGCCTGCAGAACAAGGCAGATGTGTTAAAAAATTATTCACTTCATGGCAAAGGAATTTTAATTTATCAAGAGTCACACAACTCAACAACATGGAACTGACAATTCCAGTAAATCTCAAGAAATTGACAGTGATGCTTTTAGCATTGCTACGGTAGATTTAAAAGGCAGGTCTAATATGCTTATTGAAATAAAAAAATATAATTTTAAATCATGGTTTATGGGTGAAAATGAAGGCACAAACTACACTTCCACATGCTACTTTAACTTGAATTTCACTCTTCAATCTAATTCTGCAAGTATACTTTCCATTTCAAGATTTCTTTTGGTTTTGTATTTAGGGGAACCCATTCAAGACATGATCCATTCCTGTGAATAATGAACAGTGTCAGAAATAAATTGAAGATGCAGGTGGACCAAAACCTTCCTCAATGCGTATGAATATTCATGCAAACCTTTTGGTTGCAAAATTACAATGAAAGAAGCCTGTAGTACTTCAACAAACAGGACTAATTTTTCAGTCTGTGACATTCATTGAAAACAATGGCTCATCTGTTGTCTCCAGTGATTTTAACTCTGCAAATTAAGGCAAGACAATGCAGGAAACAGTAAGGTCATGCAATCATAGATATTGTGCGAGTACTAAACTGTTCTTAGTGATGAACAAGTGAAATACCTTTCTATGTTTCTTGTCCCTGTGAAAATTGATTTGCTATCTAGATAAATTAGATTAGCTCTTAGGATAGTTCTAGCTTGAACTCATGTGTGACTCACAACAACATGGATTGATACTGAGTGCCTTAAATTCAACTGCTCCTTTGAACAACATTCTTATACTGACTTTGTTCTATCTTTCCACAGAGATACTCACTGTGATACAGATGACAGGATAGCCAGCTACGGGACTGGTTCTGTCTTTGGCTCTGGAAGTATCATCATATATCAAAAGGGATGCAACTTGAGGGACAGAGGGAAAGGTGACATCTGCCATGCTGTTTATTTCCTCAATGTAAACAATGGCCTTGGCTGTCTGACAATGAAAAGGCAGAAACATTTAAATAAACAAGGTGATTCAAGCTGGACCTTGATCAGAATATGTCTACCCTTTGAAACATTGTCCCAAAGTAAGTTTTGAAACCTCAGATGGATGACCTGTTGAGGAAGGGTTAAAGCACTGGAAAGTATATTGCAGACTACAAAAGCAAGAGCTAAAACGAATTTTTTCTTTTCAGAGCACCGAAGGCCCTTTAACCTCTTGTGTCCTGGCTTTCTTGAATCACATCAGAATTCTGGCAGAACTCTAATGTGCACTGTATGCTTTAACGCCTAATGGAAATCGGGTGTTTGTCATCAGCATAGGCTGTGTCTCTGCTGTCTGGCTACCTGGAGTCAGACTATATCTGGTGTGATAATGATGAAGGGGCCAAAGAGTTTGAAGAACATTTTATACAGAATCAGAGAAATACACTGTTTATATTACAATTATATGTGATATAACGCTAAATAACAAGAATGTGTGGCTACTGCAATTCACACAAGAAGAATAACATTAGCATGTTCTCTACAGCAGAAGTTGTATTTCATCTGATTGCTCTTTTTGCACCATTGAGGTTATATTGTGTCACCAGCCAGTGTTTCCAAGAGGACTTCAGTTTTTAGGACTGATTGTATGAAGAGAATGTGTCTGGAGTGATATCTTAAAAGATTTCAGTTCTACAGAAGCTCTCATCATATCTACAGCCCCATGAACCTTATTGCCTTGGCAATGAACTGTTTTGGGCAGGTGCTACTCTGTCAGATGGGATGACCTTTTTTGTCCAAGATGGTGTGGACAAAGAAGAGTAAAGCTATGAGCCAGAAAGCAAGAATATCTCTTTACCAGATTTTGTTTGTCAAGGACTTTGCATGGTTTGTTACCTGTATTTCTGCGACCATGTTCTCATCAGGCTTCAGGTGAACAGTGAAGGCTTCTCTCATCTCCCTTACTCCATCAAAGAGAACTTCAATCTCCACAAAGTGCTGTGTTTCACCCTCCTTAAACTCGATTTCTAAAAACATAATGGGACACAAAAATAAAACTACTGTTCATAGCAAGCTGTAATTCTAGGCCCAGCCATGAAAGCTTTTCCAACTACAGATGTTCACATATTTAGTTTAACCTATTTGATGCTAAAATAATAATAATAAAAAGCAATGGACACATGTAGAAATCACTGAAAATGAGGCACTATCACCAGCATGAGAGATTTGCAAAGCCCAGGATTTAGTCTAATAGAACTTAATATTTTGAAAATGATCTGGGACTAATTATTACATAAATGTTGATAACATATGTGACTGCAGAATTCTAAATAAAAAGCATTGTTAGTGATTACTCAAACAAAAGGCATGTTAATATAATGGTATGTACCAAAAATAAAGCACGAAGCCAGAGTTATGCAAAATGGTATCGTACTTGGAAAAGCATTGTCTCTGAAAAAGCTTCTGAGGTCATTGTCATAAGTTCAATCTTAGCTGACAGAGTTAGAAGAGTGCTGTGATTCTTGGATGTGTTAACTACTAAAGGGAACAGAAGTACAGAAACTATTTAACTTTTGCATATGGAATGACTGAGAGTGATAATAAAATAGTAGGTGCATTTCTACTGTCTTTATTTTGTAAAGGATGTCAAATTAACTGAAGATAGCACAGGAAGGACCACAGAAACTGAGGAACAGAAGAATAAAAAAGATTTGCAGAAAATGATGTTCTGATTAGTATTGAAACATCATCATAGACAAAAAATATCAGGTGCTAAAGAGCTCTGCACTCTAAAAGGAAAGGCACAATATGCAGAAGTGAATCAGAGCTGAAGTATGTATGGGAAATAAAACAGATTATAAGAAGCGATAGGAACTGATCAGTGAAGCCAAACACTAAGAAACACTCGTTCTCTCCCAGTGCCTTCACATCAAGACTAGATGCCCTTTCTGAAGCATATACTTTCTCTAATCAAAAGTTATCGGGCTCAATACAGAAGTAACTGGGGAAAGTGGGAGAATCTTGCAATCCACAGTGAGTCTGATTAAGAGATCTAATGATCCTTCCAGCCTTAAGTGTAATTAAGCCATGAAAATACTCTTTTTGGTAATAAACATGCTGTGTGAGAGCAAAGAATTTTACCGAATTTCAGTTTGTCACACTTCCTTCAGATAACCCCATTAAGAATGTGGGGTTTGTGCCCATGGCTGAATAGGCAAAATCCCTAAACCTATAGATGTTCTGAAACCTGTGGGGAAATCCTGCAGATCACAGACCTTTCTCAAAGGCTTCTGTGCAGAGGCCCAGAGCCTCTTGTTCTGCATAGCATGTTTCCTTTGAAAACTCTGCTCCCACACGCTGTCAGTGCATTGCAGGGAGAGGGTAAGCCAGGCAATGCATACAGGTAAGTGTATAGGGTAAGTATTAGCTGACACCAAAAATTCCTGTGGTTTTCAGGAGGAAAGAATAAAACTCTAAAATGCAGTAGGCAAAGTGACTGGCATTATTAGCAAGCTCTGGGATGATAATTTTCTTACTGCTAACAATCTTTCTCTTCAAATATCACTAGTGGAAATGCCTTTGTTCTATGAGATTTGGAGATGGCCCAATGTTGTTGCTGGAAGTTCAAAAATAAGTCCTATCTTTCAGTTGGACTGAACACCAAAACAGTTTATCCAAAACTGTAAAAACACTCTAAAACTGTGAAAAGACTCCAGCAATGAATGATTAATCTTAAACCACAGACTAGTATCATGTATTATCATAAACTTTAGAAGAAAAAAAATTTGTAGTGCTACAAACTCTATTAGTCATTCACTAAGCCATGCGGGTGGGCTATTAATGGAAAGAAGTTTATCAGCTAAGAAATTTCTCATTCTGTTGCACAATTTCTCTCCTCATTCATTATTAATGAGCAGCAGTGGGCAGTGAATTGCAGAGATACAGAAAGAAGGCGTAATTATTATGTAGAAAGTAGAAAAATAAACAGAAATAGACATTAATTCCTACGTAGAGCAAAAGCCATAAGCTTAACAAATTGGTTGAGAAACAACTACACAATCATATCCTATAAGTAGATGCTTCTGCAGAGTAACGGTATTACACTGATGTTTTCAGAGGAGTCACAATTCTTTTGTAAGTATCTTCACTGATATCTAGTGTTCCAAGAGCAATTTGGCTGTTGCATACTACATGAGATCATGTCCGTACTGAATCTGAATAGCAAAATGTATTATTAATGGATGTGGTTGCAAAATATTCTATTCAAAAAATTATTTCATTGTTTAAACATTATGTTACAGTCATGTATCAAAAGAAATAGTAGGATATGATAATCATCTGCATGATCCTACCTTCCGATATAGGGTGATAGTCTTCTCCCGAAGCAGCAGATCCATCCTTTGTATGAACTCTCACGACAGAAACCTTGGAAGTATCTCCCAGACGAAGCACTGGAATTTTTACAACTGCTACTTGCCTTGGGTCCTTTGGTTCACTCACACTAAATTTGGTCTCACCAAACTTAATAATAGCCTCTGTAATTAGAAGAAAAATGTTTTTAGAGCACACAAATGGGTTTCCAAAGGCCAATAACAACAAAATAATTTCTTACTGTCTGCGTCATCCCGGATCTTTATCAGAGTTTCATTTTGTTCGCCAATAGAGGCACCAAAGGAAGAATCACTTCTTGGAGTGCCAAGAACCAGACGTAGTTCTTCCTCGTCTTCATGGAAAGTATCATCCGTAAGCACCAGCGTGCAAGGCTTCTCAGTTTCACCTGCAATCATTCTGAAGGTAGTATCATGCAGAACTTAGACATTCCTTGCTCTATTACAGCACTTCTTTCCAAGCTTAAGGAACCACAGGCTGCTTCTAGTGGCCAAGGCATCCACCTTGACACCATATAAGTTAGTGAGTAATGACAATAGTGAAAGTAGAATTAGTAATCATTACCTTTGTATGGAAGCTCACTACTTAAATGAAGTGTCCCATTTTGGGACTTCTCTAAGACAAGTTTCTATTTGGTATGGTCATTTTGCATGTATTGTTCCTTTTGTTCTATCTTAGAAGAAAATACTCCTTTTTCAGTGACCTCCCCCACAGCATGTATTTAAAAAATAAATACTTGCATGAGGAAGCAGAGTAATGGAAACGTTCACTCTAGTACTAATGATAATTTTGTCCCGGAGTGTTTTATTTCAAGAATTTCAGGTCTTTTTGAGATACTCTACAACTGTGTGAAACTTCACTTACACTATTCCATTTGATTTTAATGTCTTTGAAACTCCCACTGATTCCAAATGACAATGAATATCACCTTAAAAATGCTTTGAAGTTGCAAAATGCTCAGTTTGAGCACTCATAAATCAATGTCCCTAGACTTACTAGATGTTCTGAGACTCTGGGAAAAAGGCCTTGTCTTAGGCCTTCTACAAGAGCAGCAAGAACTATGAGTGGTAACCAGAGTGTCTGGCTCCCAGTGTCAGTCTCAGCAGGCTCATCATCACAAGAACGACTCCTACATCCCTTACAAAAGGAACACCACAGGATATGAGAGAGATGAGGTCAATTTACAGTATTTTTTCTTCACTGTGCATGCAAAAATGATCAAGGCTTTTCAAGATGAAGAACCAGGTCAGGATGCTGACTGTGTTAATTTTTTGAGGTTTTATTTTTTCCCCTACAGGAAATAAATTATACTTCAAGAGGAGAAAAAAAATTCAAAATATTCACCCTACTCATTGTTACATGGGAAATGTGAAAACCGTACTGAAACTGCTGCATCTTAAACAGGCCTAAGCAGCTTATGGAACAAGACATGATCCAAGTAGACCTCTTTGCTACTTGTCTTCATAGAGAAATGGTAGAGTGACACTCAAAAAAACAAGGGAAGTCACTTTCTAAGAGGCCCAGATCCATTAATCCTAACGAGTTGGACTCTTTCCTGGTTGCACAGAAGCAATGGCAAAGGCATGGAGTACATGACAGCACTAAAAGTTGGGACCAGCTCTAAATAAAGATAGACTAAACAACTAGCTTTACAAGAGAACTGTGATACATATCTACAGAAATGTGAAGCTTGTCATTTCTGTAATAAGGCCATACCAAGGATTTCATACTGATGACAGAACTTGTTTAGGGATTGTAAAACATTATGTTCATGTAAACTTAAACTCTAAAAGATTAAACTGTCTTCTGCACAAATAGAGGGAATTAGGCAATATTCTTTTAAGGTATTAACACTCGATTTATTTGTGTTTCCTCTCTGATGTGAGATATTAAGTACAAGCTACTGGTGAATTACCTTAGCAAAGCCTCCTTGGGAAAAAAATCCAAAAAGAAATTAAATACCTGTTGAAAGGTCCATTACTCATTTCAGTACAAGTCAAATGTATTTACCAGAAATCTGCCTCTAACAAAGAGCAGAGGTTCTGAAGCTTCCTTTCTGACAGCAGATCTGTATTTCTGTTATTGTGTTACATGGAACCTGCTTTTGCTACCATGGATCAAAGAAAATCTGGCACTCAGGCTGGATCTATGTGAAGATATGTTCCTTCAGCTGCTATTGATTTGTCCTCTAGATCAGAAGTGAAGCAAAAAGAGATAGAATCTGTGTGTACTTTATCCACTATGTGTGTGTACTTTATCCACTATGTATGGAAAAACCCCTTGGTTTTCCAGAGCAGTCTTTTTGGCACTGCTTTAGAAGACACAATTAAAACGAAACAATACAACCAAAGCAAAGCAAGGCAAAACAAAACATAGTAGACTAAAACCTTCTAAAATAAGATCAAGAGCTTACCAGGAAAGAATGTGATGATGGAATTGTCAGTATTAGGACGTTCTTCGAAGTCCATCATTACCTGAGCTGAACTTTGCCTTGTATAGCATCTCACAGTGGATGTGTATCGGATATCCCCACTCCTGTATATCATGGCAGAAATCTGTCCATCATTTTCATTGCCTACATATACAGATTCTTTAAACTGCATCTTAGGCACTGGGTAGAAAAACATAAAAAGCATGTGTAAAGTATAATTGCAAAAGTTACTGTATCTTCTCTCCATTATTTCACATTTGGTTATGTTACAGTGCACCAGATATGTGACACAAGCAGTTAGGCAGTAAATGACTTAACACATTGCCTATAGCTAAAACATAGGCAAAGGAGCACTTCTCTCTCAAAAGGAGAAGTGCTGTCTGTGTATTTATGACTTAACACATTGCCTATAGCTAAAACATGTGAGATTCAAAAGGAGAAGTGCTGTCTGTGTATTGCAGTCATGCATCTCCTGCATAAATCCAAAAAGGTACAAAAATTTATTACTCACAGTCAGAGATTGAGTCATTAATGAAGATAGTGGCCTTGCTGGGTTCTCCAAGGGCAGCATTCATGGGCATCCTTAGCACAAGCTCAAACTTCTCAGTTCCTTCTAATACCGGCTGTCCAAGGTCATCCAGAATTACCACACGAAGGGTTTGCATATTGACTCCAGGGGAAAAGTCCAAATTACGACTAATGCCTACATAATCTACTCCAGCTACCAATGAAAAGGGGATTAAAAAAAATCAAATGAATAAACAGCATTATGTGAAAAAAAAATAACAATATATATAATTAGGCAGCAAATTTTAGGTAAATCTATTTTTGTAATATAATTTTAAATTGTACTAAATTTTAGCAGTCATGTAAAACGAAAATATCTTTTGATTATCTAAGTTGAACTCTACAATAAAACAAGTCGATATTAAATCACTTTTTGTTTGGTAACTCAAGTCACAAAATGAGGCTGATTCTGTTCTATTGTAAACTAATAGTTATTTCGCTAAAACTAATAAAGTTTGTTGTAAGTGAGAAATGAAACTTAGTGTAAAGCTTTGAGAAAGACCCGGGAGATGAAGCAAAGTCTTTTGGAAAGAAAGCTCGTATTAACCTGTAACGAAGTTGGAAGTTTTGAGACTATTACGTAAAAAGGGAAGGAGAAAAGGCCAGTGAGCTGACTGTAAGGAAGAACTGCTGTTCAGAGAAGTTGTGTAAAACAGAATGAATGGAAACCAAAAGAATCAAATTTGGGTCAGATTATGTCAGGTGGGGCCTGGCACCTTACTGTTAAAGACAGACTGCTCTGAGTTTGGCTTGCTTTTATGTTTTGTATCATTTTGTTTTAAGCAAAGCAAGCCAAGCCACAACAAACCAATGAGAAGGAAGCAAACAAAACAAGATACTGAATGAAACATGACACTTTATCTTGGAACTAAAGCATTAAAGTTATCTAGGACTTCAGTCAAAAGGACTGAGATTAAATGTTCATTTTTGGGGGAGAATAAGCAGCAGAGCTGTTGAAACAAAGCTTTGCAGAAAACCATTTCATTGAAATTGAAATAGGGTTTGGAATTCTGCAAATCTGACAAAATTTGGCAAGATTAAAGGCCATTATCAGATGGGCACTTGGCTAGAGTCCCTGCTGCCCTACCCTAGATCTAAGCCTCTAAGGCAGAATGTCAGGACTAACAACTCAGTGCAGCAGATCTACCGCTGCACCATGTAAGACCAAGAACCATGTTCATGGCTTTGCAGGCAGCCAGCCATGTCAGAGCTTTCAGGCTGTGACCAACAGACTAGACAGCCCAAAAGCTGTGTCATTCCCAGTTTTGAATCCTATAGGTGCTGGCACAATGAATTAAGATTCTTACTGTAAGGAAATATTCCACACACACCCCCCTCGGAAATAAAATAACTTAAATATTCATGATGAGATAAAGACATCATATCATATAAAGCAAGTTCAGAAATGAAGTAATCATATATTTTTTCAGACTTAATAATTTTCTTTTTCAAGAGAAATATAATGTTTATCATATATGCTACATATCATATATATATGATATATAGTTTCAGATATTCCTGAAATAACAGTAAAGTTTTACACAACTTTACTGCACTGAAAACTAGTTGAGAAGATAAACTCTACTGTCCAGTTACACTCAGGATAAGCATCTAAGGAAGATAATTTTTATGCTGTCTTTGTATGAATGTCTTAGTTTTAAACATTGTGGTTTGTGAAAAAAAAAACCACAACAGTACACTAGCACTTGATTCTGCAGACAAAGGTTCTGTCAAAGCATCACAGAACCACATAGCTGTAGCAAACCTCTTGCTGAACAGGATACTGGATAATAATTTCTCATTGTCTACAGTAAAAACGAGATGAGCAAACTCTGCATGCTGCCAGTCATTAGAACTCTGTGCCCAGAGTATGCTGTTGAGTCAGTAATCAGCTGCCTTTGTGGGACAATGTTTTATATGAGTATCTGAAGGCATTTCTCTTAGTGCTGGACTTCACAGTTGCTCCTTCTGCTTCTTTGAGAGAAATTCTGTAACTACTTAATTTGCCCTAAGAAGAAAGATCTGCCAAGAGCAGATTTCATCTTGCGTAGTTGAATCTGTATCAAGACCAAATATACTGTCATTTGTTGTTGCGACGTGTTATGAAACCAGAGCACCACAATAACTTACCCTCTGCAGTCATTGGCTCAGATTTGCGAGACCTCACTGTAACGGATGCAGCTTTGGACAGATCAGTTCCAGTCCTCCAGACACGTACCTCAACATAGCCAGCACTCTCGTCAACATAGTATTCATCATTTCCAAAGTAGAATGCTGGTTCTGGTGAAAGAGGAATAATGTCCATAAATGTTTCTTTACTTTACGTTGAATGAAAAAAGAAAGCATAAAATCCACATTAGAAAACAGAGAGCACTTTGCTCTTCTCAGTAAGTAAAATAAAGCTTTTTTTTTTTTAAGGTTTGGAATTTTTCTAGGTATTTTTGGCTTCTTTTCAAGTATTTGTTTGCCTGTTTGGGACAGCAATTGTTATATCAGCGCTGTGCTCTTTTTCTTGCCTCCTACAATTTCAACTTTGTGTGTCAGCAGGTATAAATCTGTGTGCAAAACCAGAAGTGTTATCTCATTAAAATTACTTGAGCTGGGTCCTGTGCACAAGCCAGAAAATTCCTTGCATTTTTCACTTTGGTGCAAACAGACAAAGGTGAATATAGATAATGAAACCTCAACTTGAATGTTCTCATAGATTTCTCTTGCTAAAATCAGACTGGAACATGATATATAACTGGAGCTGCTTTTGGAAATGTTTTCCAGCTAACCAAAGGGGCAAATAATTTTAGTTCCCCCGCATCTAGCATTTAAAACAAAATCAATCTTATTTCATGCGAACTGGAATGTAAATAGTCTTTTATCTTAATATTTAAGTCCCACAGTTTAAAAGAAAGAAGACCAAAAAGCAAAAGATGTTGTTATCCCACTTTACAGAAATATTTTTTATCCTCATTTTTTCCTCCCTTTTTCAGTTTTTCTACCCACAGCAATTTCACAAAGGAAACAGGCTTAAAAACATAGCCCAGCTTCGTCCTGAATGTATATCAGCCCTTTGCTATCCCTTCCATTCCTGTTTCACACACATAAGAGTAAGCACACGCAGCCAGTTTTCCCATTGCGCAGTAGAAATCATACCTACCTTTCCCAATGGTTGGGATGCAATTTGAAGACCTATACAAATTCCACTTCATCACGATTTTGTTATGTTGCTAGTGAGAATTTATTATAATCATGAGGTTACAATACCACAAATGTGCTTGAAAATACCACACAGCATATGGCCAACTCGAATTAAGCTGACAAAGATAACAGCAATTAATCAGTGCTCTATCAGTGGCACTATGAATATTTCCTCTTTGCCAAGCACAGAATAAAGAAAAAAATCAAAGGAAATGACTGGAAAAGTTTCTGGCTGTACAAAGCTATGCCTACCATGCAGAAAAGGTACAACTTAACCAAAGGAGGAGACATAAATCCTTTTTAATGGTAAGTGGAAGTTGGGCCCATCATTTCCACGATTTAGCCAAATTTTCTCACGATTGTATGTATGTTGCAAAAACCATGACTTCTATTACAGGGGAACAAATGTTTTGGAATTGAAGAATCTGCTTCAGACTACAACTGAGCTCAATAAAGTCAAATATTTTGAAGACATTGTATTATGAAGGTTTTGGAGAGGCTTATAGGATAACCAGACAGCCAAAAGATCTTTTTTCTGAAGTACTTGAGGACAATCTGACTGACTACACAGTGTATGGCAACAGTCTCCTCTGTAGCAGATCACTTATTTCTTTTTATAGAAAGCTAAACAATGTAATATAGGATCTTAATTAAAACTAATCAGAAGTAATATAAAGTAGTTACTCAGTTATTACTAAGCCTAAATTTTATCTGAGAAGGCAGCAGTTCCTAAGTATTTTGGAATTGCACATGCAAATTGCATAAATTAGAAGTTTTGGACAAAAGTATTTTCTCTTCTGCTTTCAAGATTTTTCCTGTATTTCACAAATGACAAAATAAATTATTAAAAAACAAGCAAACAAAAAAAAAAACCCCTTAATAATCAACATCACTGAAAACAAATGCTGCTGCCTCTCTACTTATCTGCTAAAACTAAAATCATGGGTTGTAACAAATTAATGGAACGGAATGTATTTACTGAGTAATAGTGCAGGTTCAGTGTTTCCATGATTATCAAGGTCATCAACCTTCCCAGAATGAAAGACAAACTTGGCAAATGTCTAGCTTTGGTAGATGAAAAGGTTTTCAGTTCCAAATTTTTTTTTTTTTCAACATTATGTGTATTTAAGCATGCGTGTGTTTGTGTGCACAGACAGACACAAATCAGTCTTACATTATTTGCCTGTAGGGACTGGGTTGTCAGTAGTTGCATTTAGATTTGAGACTGCAAAGCTCTTATCGGAAACATTTTAAATAGGTAAAGAGGATTAACTCTCTGGACCTTCTCGTATAACTACTATTAACTTTGATGAGAGTTCTACTTACAGGGATACGGCAGAACTGGATATTAAATCTGCAAAGAAATGTGCCATTTCAGACATACAATGATTTAAAATTCTCAAGATGGACAAAGGCTCATCCAACTTCTAGAGGTTAAAGATACAGAACGTCTGCAAGACCAAATGTTTAAAAATGTGCCAATGGTTAGAAAAAGGTAGCTAAAAAGATTATAAAATCTAATACATTTCTTTAAAAAGTATTTTTAAAATTCAGCACACTTTCCCAAGTCTAGTCTTGGTTTTATAATCCTGTTCTCTCTATACTGATGTCCTGGTAATTCCGGAATTAGATCTGGCCTTGGTCTCACCTCCTCTTAAGCACTTAAGTGAGAGGTACTCATATTCACAGCCTGTTTTCTCTCAGTTTTCAAGGACAAGGATAAGCAATTCCAGGAGTTTGCCCAGCACAATGAGCATACAGAGAGGTGGAATGGCTCATTCATCGCAGTGAATAAAATCTGAGGAGATCTGGAAGCATTCCCTTCTGCTCACTGACTACACAGGGAACTGAGATGACCTGCCTAAAACCATATGGAAGATGTAAAAGATAATGTTGTTGGTTTCATGTAGTGTTATCCTAATGCTTGCTTTACTGCTGCTGAAGAAGAGCCCTCATGTACTGTTTGTTCCTGTAGTCACAGCCAAATTCCTAAACCCTCAGCTAGCTTGCTTCATATTCCAGAGTGAGTTTTTCACACTTTTTGAAGCATGTATCTTCAATGAAAGACACATTCTGCATGGTTACCCATCCTAAGAAACAAATCCTTACAAATGTTTTGTAAGTTCATTTCCTGTAAGCTGTGTTAGTAGCTCCCCAGGGGAAGTAGCAAAGCCAAGCTACTAACAGGGAAAGCATTGTCTTTCTCAGGTCATGGCTGGAAAACACTCTGCTCAATGACTGCAGGCTCACTTACAGCAGGTCTTTAATCTAGTAATCACTCTGGAGAGAGACCACTGCAAATTTAATGGTTCCTCTTACAGAAATAAGAGGAAGGTATTTTTAGAGGTTTTTTTTGTTCAGACCCACGGATTTCACTGGCATGAAGTTACAATAATCAAAGGAGAAAGGTTAGGAGCTTTAGTCCTAGGTTTCTTGGCACAGAAATGAAATCTTTTTCTTGCCTTTGCACTTACACAGAAGCATATATCAACTACAGCACTAGTCAGCAAGCAGGAAAACAAACACACTTCTCATGCTGCTAGAAACAGGTCTATCTTTGAACATATATCAGAAAATCAATGATATAGCACAAAAATATTTCTTTCCAAGGAGGCTTTTGTTTTTAAAATGATATCCTTACAATCTGCTTTAGAGGGTCATGGCAAAAGAGTAGGTTGGTTGTAAGATACACAAGGTGCCCCAACCAGTTTGGGCTGCCAGTGCAAATAATATGTAAGGCAGGATAGTTAGGACAGACAGAAAAGAACAGACTCTTCTGTGCTGACACCTCAATAAGCTTTAATACTAAAGGGATTTTCAGTGACATATGCTTTCAGTGAGAGATACATATATATACATATATATATATGTGTGTGTGTGTATATATTCTTAGGAGGAGAGAAGTCATAGAAGAAAACAAGACCTGCCACTCTGACATATTTAAATATTGGAATTAAGAGAAGCAGTCATTACAACTGAACTCAGGCTTGATCTTTTCCAGAGGTATTAAACAGTTTATTCCTAAAAGCTTTTGCCTTCCTTCTTTCTATGCACAGTACAAACAAGGCTATGATGTGAACATTACGAGTTGACAGAGCTAGTAGAAATCTGTTGTGGTAATGTGGAAGGTGCAAAGCAGTGCTTTGTAAGCTTATCAGCCTGTTCTGGTACAGTCTAGACATGCTAGTGCAAAGTTGAGTCCAAAATAATGAGCCCTGATGGTTGACACCGCTAATTATCTTGGACATAACAACAGACAAACATGGCCAGATTTCCTCTGGACCTGATTTGGCTTATACCCAGACAACGCACAGGTACCTACACAATGTTTACTTGCATTTCAGTATCATAGCTAACAGTAAATGACTGAGATGCTGAGTCTATATTTAACACAAGAGACTCCACCTTTCCGAATGTGAAGTGGGTGAGCTGTGGACAGACCAGTTAACAACAAGAGTTCCATTAGAGTTGAGAAGAAATGGGCAATTATTGTTTAATAGCAGGAAAGGTCAACTTCTATAATCTCTCTCATGTATGCATGTTCATGGAAGTAAAAGCAAAGCTCAGAAAAACTGTCCATTGTAAAAAAGTTTATATTATGATATTATCAAAGAGGACTTTAACGTCTGAAACTAGGTAGCACCATACTACAGCTATTTACACATACTTGAAGCTATGCAAGCAACTGAGCTTGCATTTAGCACAATGAACTTAATTTGCCAAGTAATTTATTTTTGCTGAATGCTGTAGAAGCAGGGGTCAAGACTACAGTCAGAGCTCAGTTCTGGAGCAGGTACCTATTGTGCAAATGCCAATAGCTTTTTATTTGATGTGGTCAAAACAGATTACTTTTCAAATTCATATGTTGCAATCCTAACAGCTTTCATCTTCTTAGCACTGTTGTCGTAACTTTTGCAATCAAAAAGTAAATTCACCTCAGAATCAAAATTACTAGTTGCAGCCAAATTGCCACACACATTATCTCAAGTAAATAACGTCTGCATTTCCATTTGTCTCAATAGCCCATTTCTGTCTAGCAACTTACAATGTTTTTTTAAAGGATACTGCAAACATTATAACATGTATAAAAGACAGTCTCAGATTAATGCAACCTTTACCAAACCCAGTTCTATTTTGTAAGAAAAACACATAATTTTTTCTAATCTACAAAGGCAATGCTATACATTGACCAGACTGGTTCATCACTGAATTACTCTTATTTTATGCAACCTAACCCAGTAATTTCAGTAGAGTAATACGACGTGAATCAAGATCAATAACTGTTATGAACAACATTATATATGATTATTTTTTAATTGATTTATGATATATGCTCATTCAGCATAGACCTTTACATTTTAACTCACCCTTTATGTTAAAGTACATCGATGCTTCAGTTTCTCTACACACAGAACCATCACAAGCAGCACCTGCCTAGCAGGCTTGGAATGCACATCTAACCTCTTCGCTACATGAATAAGTAAAACTCAAATGTGAGCAAAGTAGCACAGTAGAAGAAGTAGACTGCAGCCCTAGCCGTTAGACTGAGGGTGGCAGTAAGATGGCTCCAGTGATACCCCATCTCTGGTCACCTACTCTTTCCTTTTCTTCTCAGTCCCATCCTTAGTGCACAGACAGCCTGCAGCGTACTTTGCAGCCTGAAGAACTGTGCTAATTCCGATTCTGCTTAATGTCAGGTTGCAATTCAGAATGGTTCAGTAATAACTACATGAGCTACAGGGTTTGCCTGAATCACAGAGAATAGACATCTGAGAGCATGAAGCCATGCTGTACACAACTTGTTCAAGATGCGTGCCTTTAAACTGAAGATTAATTTTTCAACAATTAGTTAACTATTATATACAAGATGGTAATGAACAGTTGTCTCCCAGCTATAACTGGCATTCCAGAAGAAAGTCTAACGTGTGAGGCTGACTATTGTAAGTGACCTTCTCTTGGAAGAAATTAATTTACCTTTGTTGATTTGCTGAGAAACATTGTTACCTTTCCA